GGAAATGATATTTTAATTTATTTTACAATCAAATGTGCTGTACAGTAGACTGGGTCGAAAAAAAAAGTTGCTAATGTCCGCCCCTAAATTTAAAGATTATGTTGAGAGGGTTCTGGAAAAATTTTTTTTTTTTTTTTAACCCTCCGAAATACAGCCGAAATGGTTTTTTCGTTGTAACTTGGTTATTTGACGGCCGATTTTTAAAATTGATATGTCATTATTTTTGTCTTGAGAAGCTTCACTTTTCGTTCTTATGTCTTTTTAAGCTTTGAAGTCGCGTTCGCATGATAAGGGCAGAAACAAAATTTTACCCCCCCTAAAGTATATTTTTTTCCTTACCAAACGAAAGTACTTAAAAATTCAAGAAAATGTTGCCTTCAAACTATATTACTAAAATAATAAACAAAGGAGTTATAGCACTTTTAATATCACAGGTCAACATGAGTTTCAGATGTAAGTATAATAACACAGTACAACAAAAATTGATTTTTTTTATGCAACAGAGTAACCTAAATTTAAGGATTATGTTGAGAGGATTTCGAAATTTTTATTTTATTTTTTTTTTAACCCTTCGAAATACAGCCGAAAAGGTTTTTTCGTTGAAAGTTGGGTATTTGACGGCCGATTTTTAAAATTAACATGTCATCACATTTCCTTTTAAGCTATGAAGTCGTTTACCCATGGTTAGGTCAGCTAACAAAATTCGCCCCCACAAATTCCTCCAACAGTTTTCTTAGTTGGAAATTTAATCTCACTGCTTTCGTACCAATTTAGGTACATTTTTGCTACGATTTTTCCCAAATTCATACTCTTTGTTTTCGTCGCATCAGCAACCCGGGGAGTGCAAAACTGACGCTGTCAATAGCGAGCTAACCTCTTGTAATTTAATCATGCCAATAAATTTTATAAATTGTGGAAGTCAAAGTTGTTAACGCATTATATTGGCAAGCAGAAAGGACCTGGTGTTTGGCCAGGGGTGTTGGGGTCTGAAATTATGACTTGCACCAAATACCCGGTAGGTTGTCCACACTATAATAGTTAATGTTATAAACAAAAACATATATTTTCCTTATCAGGTTGTAAGTGGTTTTGAGGCTATTGCTATGGGAGTTATTCCTGAAAATATTGGCTCTTGGGAATTACGCAATGATCAGCGTTATTTATTTGATATGGTTTTGGCAGTAAATAATGGTGAATGCGATGAATATCTCGCTAGTAAGAGCCCCGGTCCCGTCAGTACAGCTCGGTGGCTTACAACAGCTTCCAGGTTACTTCGGGTATATGTTTCCAAAGAAAGCCCGTCAGCGGAGTTGCGAAACATGGTAGAGTTTGTTGTGAAAGTTTATGCACCATTCTGGTTTCTTGTAAAGAGCCAGCCACAAGCAATTCATGGAAGTAGACACGTTTTTAAGTATATTTGCTGGATACGCGAACTATCAAATGCTGTTCAAGCCATTATACGTTCAGCTATAGAAAATAATGCATATTATTTTCACCCAGAAAATGTATTATTAGCCATGATAACCGACGCTGATCCAGAGATACGTAATGATGGGTACGAAAAAATCAAAACAGCACGTCAATATCCACCAGCAGGGCTTCGCGTGTTCAAGGTCCCAAAGCGTGGCGTAATAAACTTTGAAAGTAAGTCGTATGTCAGCATGATCGATTGGAGTCAGTTTAAGATTACGGAACCCCCTTGTGTGCAGTTCTACCCAGATAGTGAACTTACAATGTTTCAATTTTCGGAAAATGAAGTGATAAATATCCCAGGTAAATATCTTCAAACTAAAAACTTCACGGGTCTTATAGTACTTTTAAATCATTTTTTTTTAGAGTTCCTCTGTCATTCCCAGAATACCGAACGGTTTGTGCGTGTTGTTAGTGAGTCTGCAAGTGCTGTCACTGATGAAAAGCGCCTGGGCCACATTTTTGCAAAATTAGAAAGCCGAGACCAATATAAAAGCCTTGATTCGCGCCAAAATTTGCTTAAGTAGCAATAAATATTGTAAGTGAAATAACTTTTTTGTTGATTATTTTAGTAATATAGTTTGAAGGCAACATTTTCTTGAATTTTTAAGTACTTTCGTTTGGTAAGGAAAAAAATATGCTTTAGGGGGGGTACAATTTTGTTTCTGCCCTTATCATGCGAACGCGACTTCAAAGCTTAAAAAGACATAAGAACGAAAAGTGAAGCTTCTCAAGACAAAAATAATGACATATCAATTTTAAAAATCGGCCGTCAAATAACCAAGTTACAACGAAAAAACCATTTCGGCTGTATTTCGGAGGGTTAAAAAAAAAAAAAAAA